TCTCTGTCTCTCTGTCTCTGTCTCTCTCTGTCTCTCTCTGTCTCTCTGTCTCTGTCTCTCTCTGTCTCTCTCTCTCTGTCTCTCTCTCTCTCTCTGTGTTGATTGTGTTTTGGGTTTTAATGAATGAACTTGAACCTTCAGAATAAAAATCACAGTCAGGGTTCTGTTCTGTTCTGTTCTGTTATTCAGTTTAACTGGAATATTTAACCACTTTATCTGGAAGCTACACTAAAGCTTAAATTAAATTACATTTGGGATTATATTTATTTATTTACAACATTTTATTGTTTTTCATCCTYAACTTATTTTTTTAACTTACATTTTGTACAAAACCAGGAGAAAACTGTTCTTTCTCCTGGTTAAAGCAGACAGGAAGTAGTTTGTCCTGGTGCTGGTGGCTCCACCCAGTGGTCACAGTTTGTATTACAGCCTCAGGATCATTTTCCTCAGCTGGACTTTGTGTTTCAGTTTTATTCAGTATTTTCCTCAGGACGTTGTCACTTCTGGACTCTTCAGATCTTTTTCATCTTCTCTGTTTGTTGTCAGTAATTCTTTTATTACCTGTGGTCCTGTCATCACCTGAGCTCTGACAGTCAGAGTCCAGGTCCAGGTAAGGTTATAGTTTAGTTTTATTTTGTTGTGATGTTTTTATTTTAATTCAGTTTGTTTTAATTAGTTTTTACAGTGGTTTTACTAGTTTTTATTAGTTATTATTGCATTTTTAATGCTTAGTTTTAGTTTAGTTTAGTTTTTATTAGTTCTAGTATTAGTTATTTTATAGTTTGAATAAACATATTTGCTGAGGCATCCTCCCACTTGAGGTGTTCTTGTCAGTTCACTAACCAGCAGCTGTTTTTGTTACCAGTGAAAACAATCCATTATAGCAACATCTTCCTATAATAATTTTGCCAACAAAGGTCAACAATAGTTGTCTCCAGCCCAGTGCTACCTTGCTGAGCTGTTGCTTGTTTTTATTGGAGCTACTGGGAGAGCTTGTCAAGATACCCACAGCTAGTTAGTCCCTTAGAAGTATTCAACCTTTTTTATCACCTGTTTCCACTACAAAAAACTTTCTTTTATTTTTCTCACAGTCATTCATAAAGATCCCAAATTGAACTTTGCTGCTTTCTCCCAGTTTTTCTTGTCATTCTGCAGGTGAGCTCTGAGCAGCAGACTGTAAACAGGTGATGCTACGGGCCATGAGGAGCTGATGCTCACAGCTAATGTGAAACTGTTAGGTTTAAAGATAAAAAAAGATCAGTTTAATCAGTTCACACAGCTCAAAAT